GATTTCCCCAAGGAACAATGTATTGAAAATTTGTTCCATAAGCTGACATAATAGCATTGCCATAATTGATGGATCGAATAAGTGATAGACGACCGATGAAAGAATTAGGAGCATTCGATTGACTGCTATTCACAAGTGAATTGATACGACTTGCAAGTGTAGTCGGTGATACAAGTTGATCAGTAAGAAAAAATGAAGAAAGAAGTTGATCAATAGAACTATTTACTGATTGCATCGCTTCAGAACATAGTCCAGAGAGAAGTTGTAAATGAGATGAAAGAAAACGACGATAATCTCGATCATGATAGATAGACAGATCTGGATATAATTTTGAAGTGATCATCGTTCGCCATTGTTCTGAAATAAATGGACTTAAACATATCTAAAATAAATTAATTAAACTAAAGATGAATACAATTCAAAAAATACCATCTGTATTTACTTGATGAAAAACGGGTTGAATTTGAACAAAATGATTGTATGTTGATGAAATCGATGAACAACGACATTGAAGAGTGTCACTATGGGTAAGTAGAAGACTATTGTAAACATCAATAGTTGGTTTATCAAAAGTCTTTATTATAATTCGTGATTGGATGACATTGCAGAATGCCAAAATAATCATAGTTATGATAAGAAGAATGATATAAAGTCGTGTTGATAATTGACCAAAATATTTTGCTTTATCAGAATGAAAATGTCCTCCGAAAGTTCGTCTTGGAAAGATATTTAGATTGGTTAGTATAGTGGGTAACAGCTTAATCAGTTTGAATATATTTTTCTTTATTCGACTGAATGATAGTGACGATGCTGGTTGTTGAGGTGTCTTTGGTCGTCGTTTGATCTTCCATAAAACGGCAATCATTTTAATCAGTAAAGATGCAATTAATCTTACACCAGCAATAAGACCACCGATTATCGATATCACAAATATTATTACTCCAAGAAAATCAGTAGTACGTACTTCCTGTGAATAAGTACACTTGCTAGGGGCACATTGCTCATAATACTGATCAAATGAAAATACTGGATTCCATTCTTCAACCAGTAATGCTTTGACTATTGTTGAAAGTGATGTGTTCGGAGGAAAACGACTCGATGCTGAATCATTAACAAGAATATTAACATCGAAATATGAGATACCTGAATCTAAGTCGTTAAATATGTCGTTTATGAATTTATAGACAATCGACACACACGAATGTAAGTAATAACATTCAAGTGTTGACAGCAGCACAGAATCAACAACATAACAGCTTTGCATTGTTCCTATCACTTCAGAAAATTGATGAGCAGTAGATAGTATCGTCGTATTCACAGGATCAAAAACTGGTGTTTGACAATGAGGATCTGTAGCACAGATACATGATACACTCTTGGTCTCGGGGCTTACCGGACCAGTGAATTGAAATCCAACCTAAATAAAAAAAAAGAAATTAATTGTATAAAATTTTTTCCACTTGTGTTACTTCGTCAGAAATAATAGCAAAAAAAAACAGATCGATTAAAGCGTATTACTATACCCGAGCATATTGTGCACCATTGATTTCATCTTGTGTTGTTAAATAAAATAAAACTGCATTGCGATCTATTGTATAAGGTTGGTCTGTTTGAGTAAGTAGTTGTACTGTCTGAATAAGAAGATCAAAATTTGTAATGAACGATTGAGCGAATTCATTGACAATTATATCTAACTGAATATTAAAACTAGTTTCAGTAGTAACATTGAGTGTAATGAACGATTGTATATCAAATCGATGAATAGCATCCGTTACAGTTTTGTTAGCTAATTGACATAGAGTGGATAAAAAACGAAAATGTGTACCACTGAAACCAAACCAATTTGTTTCATCCCATCCCAACCACCCTAGCTGAGTAAGCGATACTAAAGAAATCCATTTCTCGGTGATAAAATCACTTGAACACAATTGATGAAGTCTTGGTGACCATGTGACAAATTTTTGAAATGGTATTGCAATATTTGAACAAGAACATTCAAGTGAATCGGGATGCGATTTTTGTAATTGTTTGTATGTTGTCAACAAAGGTTTTGATACAATTATATTGGCTGTCTGCACATCGAGTGATTTATATAGCAGAAAAATACATACACTATCTTGAATCAAACATAAAATATAATAATCATCCTTACACATATATCAATAAGATATAAACAATCATACTTGCAAGTAAAATCAAATATATACGTGTAGTTATGCGTTGTAATTTAATGTCGTCTATGGTTCGTTTCGAGAGTGATTTGAACAAATTCAGTTGTCTCAACTTATTCAACGATTTCTTGAAATACCTTGTACGCGTGCCTATAGATACAATATATTTTAATCTATTATATCACTTTTGCGTAATTATTAAAACTTACCACGATTAAGATTGTTATTAGTTGAGCGATGTTTGAGTTTGAAGAAAACAGAAACTGAAAATGATGTAATCAAACGAAGTAGAATGGTGAGACCACCATAAAGAGCCAGTAAAAGAGCAGCAGTATAGAAAAGATTCATATGATTAATTTCAGTATATGTACATCTTTTTGGAGCACATGAAGTAAAATATTGTGTGTAATTGATCATAGGTGACCATTCTTCTACAAACAATTCAGATAAAAGATCTTTGACAGGAATTCTTTTTTGAAATGAAGCTGAAAGACCATTTGACCATGTGAAATTTATCTAAATGACAGTAGGATCTAATTAACAGTATGACTAAAAAGATCGAATGAATTATACCTGATTGAGATCTGGAAAATAATCGGCAAAGTTCTTAAGACAAGTGCTACTGTATAAGCAATCCAGTGTACTGACAAGCAAACCATCAAGTGGAGTACATCCACTAAAGAATCCATCGACTGTTGCGTTAGGAATTATTTTATTTGGTAAATATGGATAATATAGGGGCCATTGGAAATGCTTACTCATACTGTCAAACGGTGACAGTGAATAGAAACCAGCAAATGCTGTTCCATTTATTACATTGCAAGTTTGAGCAAAGAAATTAAGTGCGTAAGTCTTATTTTCATCATAAAAACGGGTTGAGAGTGGTTCAATGAATGGTGTTTGAGCATAGGTCAAACCTGTAAAAGCATGTATATTGGTATTGAGAGCAGAAGTGAGAGAGTTTGATTGAGTTGTTATCTGTAATAATTTCACTATACTTTCGATTTGAGCAGGTATACTACTCTTGATTAGATCAATATTAGCCCATATTTGAGAACGAACTTGATCTTCTGAAAGTAATTGAACAGTAACAAGTTGTTCATTCTTCAGATCACTTAGAGATTCAAAAACTGTTTTCTGACAAATTGAACAGAAGTCAGCAAGAAGTTCAAACTAAATAGATAGAAAAATAGTTTTGTTTTTGTTCAACGATATTGACTTACTTGAGATTTAGCAGTTGTTCGAAAATCTGTCACTAATAGTGAACTGGCATAAGATAAATAAAGTGCTTGAATCCATTCTTTGTTCACATAGATACTCGAACATACTGGATGAAAAGAGATCGTATTTAATACAAATATTTCATATGGCACAGCAATAGTTGAACAAGGACAAGAAAGTGTATCAGCATGTTCGATAGAGAGTTGATTGAAAAGTTCTGGAGTTATATTAGTGGCAGTGATCAATCGATCTTGTGGACTGACAAAAGCAATGAAAGTAAGAATGTATAGGATGACTAAAAAGTAGTAAAAACATCACAAGTAAATCGTTATATTTATGAAACTTACTGATAAAAAGAGGAATATATAATCGAGTTGTATATAATTGTTGTTTAAGAGTAAGTGCAGGATCTCTTACTTTATCATTGTTATCATCTAAATCATCATCATAATCATCCTCATCAGGTATGAAAACATTATAATGATAGATATATTCAAGTAACCGAATAGGTAAACTTTTCTTATTCATGACTTAGAACTTATTGATAGTATGAGAATGAATAAAGAGAAGATTCATTTGTAAATATATCTGCAAAGAAATAAAAGCTCCACCGTTTGAACTAGTTGAAATGATAGCAGTATTTGTTTTCTCTCTCATTCGATGAGAAACTATAAAGAAAAAGAATTAACGAGTAAAAATATAATTGAAATCAGTAAATAGAATGCACATTTTATTGTTTCAAAAAGTAGAAAATCATGACAAAACAATAAATAATGAGTATTGCAATGAAGTGAAAAGAAAAACTCTTTAAAATCTTTCAAATTATTTTTATTTTAATTACAAAAAAAGAAGGAAATAGAATACTTTGATAACTAATCAAAAAATAAAATACTGAAAATGATAATTAAATTTTGGATTTAAGAATTAAGATGTGAGTATAATTCTCTTTGTTGCATATTTATACGTATAGATGACTATTTTTTTTGTTTATCATTATATTTAATTTGATTTATCAAGAAAATTTTTATTAAAGTACACCAACCATTATTTGTTAGTATATATAAATGTAAAAGAAAATATTTTATATCGTTGTTTACTTCTTTTAGAAATATAATGTCTTTTATACTTTTTGTTTCCTGTTTCATTATATTTATAAATGAAGAAGAACAAAAAAGAAAAACTATATAAATGTGTCTTTAATGATTTAAATATTTTTCTGTTAATCAGTTTTTAACATTATTTTAATAAATATACAGAATATGGAACTTTTTTATGGAGAAACTAATATTTGAAACAGTTAACGAAAATCTGACATAATTTGAGAAAATCTGTTTGTTATATTGTAAGATTTTAAGACTGATGTATTTATAATAACAAAATCAGATGATTTAATTAATTTGAATTTTGAGGGTAGATGTGGGTATGGATATGAATATTAGTGAAGATATACTCACACCTTTTGGATAAAAGAAAAGTAAAACATCCCCACCCAAACTCATCTCCACACTCACTCACACCCACATTCCCACCCAAACTCATCCAAACCCACACCCACATCCATACCTTCACTCTCACCCTCACCCACACCCACCCTTAGACTCGCAATGATTTTTTTATCGAAACGACAGTAACTCAACAGATCAGATTACATTCTATGTCGATATATCGTTTGGTATCAGGAAAGAGTATAGTTTTATTAGTTGAGCCTGACTTTATATTATGATTATGTGATCATGATTCTACAAATTAGTAATAAAGCATAAAATGTCAATATGGAGAGTATGATTAAATTGATATTGATTTTTTTCCTATAGCATGTGTAACTATATACCTGTCATGAAACTAACATTATCATTTTAACACGTTTATTAGTTGTTTGAACATGGTTTTATTCTCTTTTTAATGTTTTTTTTATTACTAGTAGACAAGTCTATCAACGATAGTAATTGTTCATTCACATTTACAGCACAGTAGAAAAATATTTCCTCTCACTAAAAATATATAACTCTATATTTCTCTCGACTATAGACAGTCTGTACTCTTACAACCAGTGAAGATAAAAATAAAAACGATCGATAATGCATACAAGTTCATTAAATAAAGGTAAAATTATTTTTCAACTTTTCCTAGTAATGTTAATTCGATGGACAACTATTACTTGTCAATTGAATTTTTACCATACTGAAGAAGTGATTGAAGGTAAATCTTTACAATATAACTGTTTGAATTATCGGGTTTACCGTGAGGAATCGGTTGATTCTGAATTATCACATATGGTTGATGAAGTCATTCCATTCTGTTTTCGTCCAGAAGACTATTCCGAACGATCACTCGAAACCTATGTTAATCCGCTTTCTCAAAAACTGACTTTCGAAGAATTACGCCTGGCTCATATTACTTCAGAAAAACTTCTCTCGTGGTCAATTTCGATTGATGTAGCTCAACGATATCAATTGTATCTAATTGAACCGAAGGCTGAATCTAATGAGATTCTCTACAATTGTACTGAACCATGGTTTGGCCCCCGGTGTCAATATTCGTTTCCTTCCGGCGGACGTAGATCTTTCAACCAGATTGTTGAAGAGGCTTTTGGTCAAAGGACAGCATTTCCTGAGGCATCTGAAGCGACAGTACAGGTGCCATGCTATGTTCTTCTGGAATGTCATCGTAATGGACAGAGTTGGTGTCTCGATTGGCGTGAAGTATGCAATGGAATCGTTGATTGTTTTGATGAAGGTCTCGATGAAGAATATTGCTTTGATATGGAGGCAACTGATATTGGAGAAAATGAATATCGATGCCACAATGGATTATGTACATCAAGCGAACTTCAAGAAGAGGATGAAGGCGATGCCGACCGTCTTCATCGATCGAATGAAGTGTTGGATGGCTTCAATATAAAATCCTGTTTCCAAGATCCAACATTCCGTTGTGAAGAACATTCTTGCACAGCACACGAAGGTACGTTTCCCTGTGGAGATGGCCAATGTGTCAAAACTTTTGATGAATGTTATAATGGACGACACAAGTTATTAATAGAATCGATGGCACCCAAAGGTAATCTAACAGACGAATGTTGGACTGCTATGATTTGCCTCACTGGACTCGCCGAGCAAATTAATGGAAGTTCATTTAAAATATGGCCGATGAACAATTCAATTTACCAATTCCTCAAACAATGTGACTCGTTTTTCCAGTTTCCAGCTATGCCAGTTCATTCTGCTGATATTCGTTTCTTTAACGAAAAGCCTTATTCAAGACGGATAATAAATGAATTCCTTCTACCTGGTTATCCTTGGTACAATCAACAATTCTGTGATTTTATTAAACGAGGGTTGAACAACTTTTCGATCGGTGAGGCAAATGATAAAATCAAGCGTGAAAAATGACGCCCAAGTAAAAAATACTGATTTTCTACAGACTAATGCTAACTAACCAAACTCGAAAACTAAATGCTTTTTTTATGTAAAAGATGATTTGAAAAAATGAATAAATGAATTCTCATACGAGAAATATTATTTTTATCTGTCACTTATATATATGCATCTCCAGCAGAGAAATGAAGATTCACAGAAATAATCTTGAGGGTGTGGGTGCGAGCATTGCATATGATTGTATTAACCAAGTGATATTAATTAGAACTAGAATAAAATACGATGAATAATAACAGATGATAAATACAAAGTTATTAGTTAACAACGTTTCCAAAGTAAAAATAAATTATTCATTATAACAACAAAGATATAAAACTGAGAGTATGAATATTCTAATTATCTTTAATCCGTAGTCTCATTCATACTCACACCCACATCTTCAAAATGCTCTGCTACCAGAAAACATGTACAGATAAGTTTCATGGCAATACAGAGAAAAAGATGACTCATACTAAATGAGTAACTGGTATTTTTTTTTCATTTTTAATCTGAAAGAGTAACAAAACAAAATGAAAAGATGGTTGCTAATAAAGCAGTTTTTTAATAATAATATTGCAAAAAACAAGCATTTTTTGGGAGCCGAACGCAGAATGATTCAAACAATGTAGTTAAGTGTATGTTATGAGTGATGTTCAAGGCAAATATCAACTTTTTTTTATAACAATAATTTTTACAGGATGAACAGTATTTTAGTTGAAATTTCTATAGTTAGAATATGTATTAATGTACATGGTTTTTCGAATGAAAGAAGATAGTGCAGCTACATTTAAATATACAAGAGAAAAATATCATAAATAAGATAATGTTCGACGTCATTGACAAAATCAACGAAAAACAATAGAATTTATATGTTTATCCCTGTTGTTTGTTAGTGCCTACGTTGACTATATATGAAATAAGGAGAAGCAGTTTTTTCTTATTGAACACATGTGTTTATTGAGCGTACAGATGAAGTCATTAGTTAATATCGTCACCTTTTTTTCTCTTTCTTAATATTTGGTAAGCACTTTAAAAAGCCAATTATAATTAAGAACAGAACTGTTCATGCCTTGTTCTCCTGTTAACATCTTGCTGGTGACGGATTCAATCCTCTAAACAATAAAGAAACAACAATAACATAGTGTAGTTATGAATGTATCATTTTTGTTGAAAAAAATCTTTTGCAAAACATATGGTGTTTTTTTTGCTGGAATAAATAACTACTAAATTAGAGAGACAAAGTATTGTAGAAAACAAAAGAAAGAGAATGGTAATAAAAATTAGTCAAACATTCATAAAATATTTTAGAAACTAAAGAAATACAACATGTGTTGGCTAATATTTATTTTATCGTTATTTTCTGTTTGTAATTCTATTCTTATTACGAAAATAAAAAATAATATAATAATTGATACTATGTATAATAATTTATTCAATATAACACAAAATCAATGTATATGTGAAATGATAAAAGTAAATGATTCAATATCTGCTTTAAATTATTTTTCAAAAAATCAAACTTGTCAATTATTTCGTTCAAACGCTAGTACAATTTATATTGAATTTTATTCAAATTCTACTTTTATATTTCTTAATCAATCATCAATAACAATACTGAATATTCAAGAGTATCGTAAGTTTTCATTTCGCAAGACTACAAAAATATCCTAACTATTTATAGACCCAAACTCCAATAATTTAAATGAATTTGATGTTTATATTTTTTTAAATTCTGAAAACGGGGTCATTCACAAAAAATGAATCAGATTAGTGGATCGAGAAGTGCTAGATTCTTAACAAAGCCTTATCCAATTTTCTTGTTTCATACTAATCTCATTTTTTTGAAATAGAACCGAGTACGTCATCATCAACACCGACAACAACCTCAAGTACATCAACATCAGCTACAGCATTAGTAAACCCATGTAAATGCGAAATAGTTTTATACAGTTTCGATTAACTATTAATCGCAGTTATGAGTTATAACCCTTTCGAATTGGTAATGAATGGAAAATAAGATTTTTTTGCACTAAATTCTTTCAAAGTATTTGTAGACTTAGAAGCTTTCTGATAAAAATATCTGCAGTGTGCATATTGAGATGAATAGATATGATGGAATGTCTACTGAAACATTATTGTTTTATTTTTAGGTACATCGGGTGGCTATCGCTGGAATACAACAGGCATAACTATATTAAATTCAACACAAATAACACACGCTGCTCATTTATTTTTCGATTCAAATGATACGTTATACATCGCTGATGAATATGCGAATTCTGTTATATGGAAATTGCCAAAGAATGCTGTCAATCCCATTCTCATAGCTGGACAAGCGCTTTCAAGAGGCTCCAATTCTAGTCAGTTCAATCTTCCTCAAGCTGTTTATCTTGATTCAGAACAAAACTTGTATGTGACCGATTATTATAATTACAGAGTACAAAAATATATTAATGGATCGAACATTGGAATGACTGCAGTTGGTTTAAGCGGAACGGCAGGTACAGCATCAAATATGCTTGGTGGTCCCCGCCATCTCTGTTTCGATTCAACAGAAACGTATATGTATATTGCAGACAGTGACAATAACAGAATTATGCGTTTTCAATCGAATTCAACAAGTGGTATCAATGGAAACGTTGTCGCTGGAGGAAATGGGGCTGGAAATGGAACTACACAGCTAAACTATCCATGGGGAATACAATATCTTCCATCAATAAGCACTTATTTATATATAACAAACTATTATGGACATACAATAATGCAATGGGCACCAGGCAATACATCGGGCAGTTTTATAGCCGGTACGCCCGGTGTATCAGGATCAAATGCTACACTTTTGAATAATCCAATGGGTATTAAAATTGATACCTATTTGAATATATTTGTTGTTGACTATGGAAATTCACGCGTTCAATTGTTTTGTAATAATAATCAGACGGGTACTACCATTGTCGGTACTGGTACCGCTGGTGCCGGTGCGAAACAACTCAACAATCCAAGAGGCATCGCATTTGACTCATTGATGAATATGTATATTGCCGATTATGGCAATCAACGCGTGCAACAGTTTTTTAAACTCTAAACTATAACTTATATATACTATCATTTTTCATTTCATCTTTCAATAAAATATTTTCTGTGTCTTCAAACTCTAATTTGTTTTATGTGAAAAATTTTTATATTAAATATTATATGATCAAAAATATTTCGTTATCAAATTATTGTTGATGTAACTATTAAGTAAGGCTGAGTGTAAGATAAATATCTCGAAAACGATAACAGATAGCAATATAAAGTTTTCATCAATTGAAAGAGAGTAGATTAGGATGTTTTTTTTGCTCTATGTTAGATATTGTATTTTTAGCAAAAAAAAGTTTACAAATCATCTATTGTTCTTCATTGTTTCAATGGTATTAACATAATCCTTCAATATGGTGGCTAACAAAATAAAACAATCGTCTCTTTGGTTATATACTTGCGATACTACTGAAAAAATAAAGCTTTTAGAAAAACACTGCGACTAGATTTGGATGAGTTTACATATATTAATAAAAATTATAGAGAAATTTAGAATGCTGGATTAAATGATAACTATTACCTTTACATATGTTCAATGGTTATTGATCCGGATTATCAAAAACGTTCTCATTTGCTAGCATATCGTTTAACAAACTAAACATTTTTTAGAAAATCTTTTATCTTATCAAGAAAATGGTTCTATTGTTACAGAATGATCAGTAGTCGCGGTAAGTATAAGTGGATATCATATTTTTAGAAAACTATTTTGATCTAACATGCTTAACGCTTGATAATTTCAATTATTATTTTTTAAGTAGATTAAAAAATAGTTAATAAGTATTTCCCTTTCTCTAGATATTAACAAAAACAAGCCTTAGCTGAACTTGACAGTTTTTTCAATAATCAAGATTTCTTCAAAATAGTTCAGTTTTAGCTAAGACGTACATATTTTTGCTGAACACTCACACACTTTATGAACTATTATATTGCTATTGTTAGCATACGTCACTAACAAAATTATAAATATGATTTATTTGATTGAAATGAAAGAAAACGAGTTTCTTTCTGACAATTAATCTCCCCACCATAAGTAAAAGCTTGAATCAATAACTTTACTTGAATAATCATTTTCCAATATTTAATCCAATGTGGACTTGCTATTCGAATACATAATGAGAATAAATGAAGAGTACCATCATTAATTTCTGATAAGAGATAATGAACTGTGGCGTCAAGTGATCGATCAGATATACCAAGTGAAATGTTTTGAACTTGAGGGCAAAGATGAATCAATACTTCCATCATTTTCTTCGTATAATCACCTTGGATAATGATCGTTTTCACTTGATTTTGTTTCGATACTAATTGATAAGCTTTACTTTCTTGAAGTGAAAGTAAATCTTTTGGAGTATCTTTTATGGATATCCATGTAACTGTATGAAGATTGGGTGTCAATTGTAATAGATTGATAAATATATTCAATTCATAAAAAATATTATTCATCGTTAACTTAGTCAGTTGTACTAGAGAAAAAATACGACGTAGGTCATCCATTAAATATGATTTTCTTTGTATAATATCTTTATCATGGAGAGTTAGTTCACTTATTTTTGGAAAATATTTCGAACAAATGGGAAGTGCTTCTGCACTGTTAATAGCCATATGTTGAATAAAATTGGAATCTGTTTCTTCATGACATTGAGATGTGGCCACATTGAAGTTAGAACCTAATTTAAAGAATTTATTTCTAAAAAACGAAAAAATGACATTGATATTTATCTGCTAATAATTATTACCTGTGTGGTTGAATAGAACAGAATATCTCATGCAAATATTCTCTTGACATCGGCTTATGAGTAAAGAATCGTTGGTATATAGATGATAAACTTGGAAAAGAACGATCATAGATAGACTCACAGATCTCCACCGTTCGACTATAAAATACTGATGTTGAATCGTTCAATTCGAAGATATCTAAATGTGGTATATGCGACAGAATAGAATTTTCCCAAGTATGTGTGCATCTCGAGCTTCAAATTGATGAGACATGTAATATGTTAATACGATGAGAATGTTTTTTAACAAATTCTTCAATACTCATTGGTGACAAAAAATCTCCAGTAATCGACATATGTGTCAAATCATTGAATATTACTAGACATACTAGTATATCTCGCACAAAAAATTGTTTCTGATATATAATAGATAAATGACGAATTCGAGGAACATATAATAAAATAGTATCAATGTTAGAAAGATCATAATTATCAGAAATAACAAGGCGCTCGATAAGGCTTGATGAATTCGTAGACAGATGTAGTAATTTTAAGGGAGTACAGTCTCGAAAAATCATTTTACAATATTTTAATACTGGTAATTGA